GGGGGGGGGGCAAGAGAAGGGAGGCACCCTCTGAGGCACAGACCCAAAGGGAAGGCCAACTGCTGGGGGGCAGCAGGGCAGAGAGAGGCACCAGATCTGGCAACTCAGCCTCCAACCTCAGCACAGGGAAAAGTAGAGGAATTTGTGTTTTTTACAGTAATACCCTAGCTTTATTTTTCTTTATCAAATTTGTTTTATCTATTCTAACTCCTTTGCTTTTTCATATAAACTGTAGAATAATCGTCTCCCACTATTACAAATTTTCTGGGGATCTGGACTGAAACTGCAGTAAACCAGGACACTAGTTTGGAAAAGAACTGACATCTTCACTATGCTGAGTTTTCCTTTTTTGGTCTATATGTATATTGTTCGTAATGAGCAGTTTTCACTCAACATTATGCTTTAGAGATTCATCTGAATTGATAACAAAGACTGTAGTTCATCCATTTCCCATCCATTCCATTGCATGAATTGATTACAAATTATTGCCCATTCTTCTATTAATGAATATTATTGGGTTTTCTTGACTTATGCTATTATAAATAATGCTTCCATAAAAAATTTTAAAGTACCAACACTGAGATTTTTTTTGACCCACAAATCCCTAGTCTATATATTCTTAATAATGCCTTTAGAAATTATAAAATAAGGCATACACAAAAATAGAGAGAATAATGTAACTGATCTCTATGTGCTCGTTACCCAGCTTCATCATATCTTAGTATTTTTTTCACCCATCCCACCACCACCCTCCCCTTTGGCAACCATAAGCTTGTTCTTTGTATCTATGGGTCTGTTTCTGTTATATTTTGTTTATACATTTGGGTTGTTTTTTTTAGATTTCACATATAAGTGAAATCATATGGTGTTTGTCTTCCTCTGACTTACTTCACTTAGCACAATGACCTCTAGGTCCAACCATGTTGTCATAAATGGCAAAATGTTCTTTTTATTACTAATATTCCATATATATAGAACATACCATTTCATCTTTACCCGTTTATCTATTGATGGGCACTTCGGCTGTTTTCATATCTTGGCTATTGTATATAATGCCGCAATGAACATAGGGGTGCGTATAGCTTTTCAAAATAGTTTTTGTTTTCTTTTTTTTTAAAATATATTTTTATTGATTTCAGAGAGAGGAAAGGAGAGGGAGAGAGAGATAGAAACATCAATGATGAGAGAGTCATTGATCAAGCCTGCAACCAGGCATGTGCCCTGACCGGGAATCTAACCTCGATCACCTGGATCCTAGGCCGAGGCTCAACCGCTGAGCAACATCTGGCTGGGCAGTGTTTTTGTTTTCTTTGAATAAATACCCAGAAATGGAATTGCTGGGTTTATGGCAGTTCTATTTTTAATTTTAAGAGGAACCTCCATACTGTTTTCCACAGTGGCTGCACCAGTCTGCATTCCCACCAGCAGTGCACAAGGTTCCCCTTTCTCCACATCCTTGCCCCCACTTGTTTGTTGATTTTCTGATGACAGCCATTCTGACAGGTATGAGGTGATATTTTATTGTAGTTTTGATTTGCATTTCCCTGATGACTAGTGACATTGAGCATCTTGTCATATGTCTATTATGCATCTGTTATGTCCTCTTTGGGGAAGTGTCTATTCAGGTCCTCTGTCCATCTTCTAATTGGATTTTTTTGGTGTTAAGTTGTATGAGTTCCTAATATCTTGTGGATATTAACCCCTTATTGGATGTATCAATGGAGAATATCTTCTCTCACTGAATAGTTTTTATTTTCAGTTTGTTGATGGTTTCCTTTGCTGTGCAAAAATTTTTTAATTTAATGTAGTCCCATTTAAAAAAAATTTTCTTTTGTTGCCCTTGCCCAAGGACATATATCCAAAAAGATATTACTAAGACTGATATCAAAAAGTTTACTGCCTGTTTCCTTCAAGGAGTTTTATGGCTTCAGGTCTTATATTTAATTCTTTTATCTATTTTGTGTTTATTTTTGTATATGGTGTAAGAAAGTGGTCCAATTTCTTCCTTTTTTTTTTTGCATGATCTGCACCCTCAGCACAAGGAAAGGTTAGAGGAATTTGAATCCAGTGGTACACAGAAGGTAACCACTGCAACAACAAAACCCAAAACCAGCCTAACACCCCAACATACCAACAAGAGGTGTGGCTTTTCCAGGAGTAAACACTGTTTACCTCATTCCCTTCTGCAGAGGTTGGTATGCTATGGATGGCCATGGCCAAATGCAGCCCATGACCTGTTTCTGTACAGGTATGAGCTAAGAGTGATATTTACACTTTAAAAGGTTACTTAAAAAGAAAAACAAACAGGCTAATGTGAAATAAGATAAAATACACATGTGGCCCTCAAAGCTAAAAATATTTACTACCTGGCCCATTACAGGAGAAGTCTGCTGGACACCTACCCACACATACTCTACGACCCTATACACAATGTCCAACATTCAATCAGAAATTACAATGACAAAGCCAGGGAAACAAAAAGCCCACAGTGAAGTGATAAAGTAATCAACAGAGACAGACTGACATGCCCAGATACAGGAACAATCAGAAAAGGAATTTGAAATTAAAATGATAATAACTAGAAAAATACTGTTTTGGGTTCTTATAGTACACCTGAAGCAGTATAATATTAGTTAAAGATTTTTCATTTTTTAGTTAGAAATCTTTAATTAACTGTGATTAATTAAGGACTATAATGTAAACCCTAGGGCAAATACTAAAAAAAATTTCTTAAAGTATAAATGCTAAGCCAACAGTGCAGATAAAATAGAATATTGAAATAATCCAACAGCAGGCAAAAACTAGGAAAAAGGAAACTAGAAATATTTCTATATTTCTTTCTATACACATTAAATGAAAACACACTGATAAAAGACAGAGAAGGCATAAAACAGCAAGACCCAAACTATACATTGTCTACAAGATACCCAAGATAAATGTAGCTTCTTCCTCAGCGCTGCCTACAGAGGTGCCCTCAGACCCCTCCCGTTGCTAGCTATGCCTAAGTCCTTTTGTCCTAGATGTCCACTCTTCCCAGAATGCCCTTCCCCCAATCTTTTTTTTTTTTTTAATATATCTTTATTGATTTCAGAGAGAGGAAGGGAGAGAGAGAGAAAGATAGAAACATCAATGATGAGAGTCATTGATCAGCTGCCTTCTGCATGCCCCTGACTAGGGATCGAGCCAGCAACCTGGTCATGTGCCCTGACAGAGAATCGAACCAAGATCTCCTGGATCTTAGGCTAACGCTCAACCACTGAGCCACTCTGGCCCGGCTTCCCCCAATCTTCATATGCCTTGATCCTTTCAAACTTCAGCTTAGCAGTTTCAACTCCAACATGTAAAGAGCTTGGAAATTGTCACTCCCACTCTTATAACAAGAAGAACAAACTGGAAATCAAAGACTTTTCTTGGACCTATCATTGAAATGAGGTTGGGGAGTAATGACAGGCAAACCTAGAGAGTGACAGCCAAGATCAGTATTCCTGGAACAGAAGCCGCTGGAGCCTAAACTGATAGGAACATGTAAATGATCATTTTGACAAATTGCTGGAAGCTGGGTGTGGACTACCATGAAAGTAAGAAACTCCCGGGGGTGCGGCAATCTTAGGGGGACCCCCACATTCTTGTG